ATATACGCTCAAAAAAATGGCGTACGCCAGTTTCTACGAAATGTTTGCGATTTATAAAATACTAACTTGACGGGAAAACGTGCGGTCCTCCACGCAAACTCTAACCCATGCGTACGCACTAAGCACAAAAACGGGAGAGACGAGAAACTGCGACACCGTTGGCAGAAGGAAGAATGGAGAGAAATATGTGGAAATAATACCATAAATAAAATGTTACCTCTCATTTATCATATATGATGAATTCATTTTTCAAACATTGATTAAAGCCAATCTTAAAATGATTTAACAAACGCCTGTTTGCGACTCCTCAGTGCACACAAAAACATAACTTGGAGAAATAAATAAATACGGATATGTTATTAAAAACCACCTGTTGTTGTTAATGTTATGAAATGTTTTCTCATAAATGATGCGGTAAGCAGGAGGACAGAATTACGTCTAAACTGACGCCGTTTTGCATTTCTATAGGTTGTAGATACGAGAATGGTTTTATATACTATCATGTTTAATCATGTTTTATGCCGTTTGCCAAGACTTGATAAGTCGCTCGTAAAACACAGGAGGTATGGAAACTAAGAACACCGTACAGCTAATGTTGCTGCGGAGGGGGGGGGTTGAGATGCACAGGCTGCAGTGGTGACGCTGCGCACAGCTGATCGACAGCTGGGACACAAACCACCAAATACAAAAACATAATTCAGATCCAGTCGTCATGACTCCACTCCGGAGGGATTCCCCGATCATTTCTTACAGTTTCTCATCAAGGGGGGGGTCTCCTGTCCCCGGTACAAACACACTGCCTGAGGAAGGCCATGTGTATTTATTTTGTCATTAACCTTTTTCGGACCACTTATTTATTTATTTTGGTGACGATCCGACCTCCATGCTGCTACTCTGGTTCAAACTGCATCCACCAAACAATACGGTTTATCTCAACCTCCCCAAAATAACCAAAATCTGAAACGGTTATCTTCTTCATAAAGTCAGTCAAAATGAATGAATGAATTGACGTTTCTTTGACTATTTATAGGCAAATACGGGCGTTACGTGAAGCCTGCAAAAGCTGCACCGCATTTCGAGTCGATTGGGATTTATAAAGGGAAACCGGCGTAGGAAGTGTCGTACGCACTTTCCTCGCCGGTACGCAATGTTCATTGAATCGGAAATTGTCGGAACATTTATGTACCTATTTTTCGGATTTCTACTACGTAAGCAACCTTCCCACGTGAATCCTACGCACGGCGTTATACATGAGGCCCCACCTGAACTTTTGAAAGAACATCCATAACATTCATCTGTTTGCATCTTATATAAATCAATATTCCAATTACTTGTAGACTATTCTGCACTACTTCTATTATATCATTTTATTTACTTCCACTATTATCTGTGTTAATGTGTTGCACTGTTGGAGGAGCCTGTGACCTAAGATGTTCATTGTCATAACTACACTGTAGCTATGCACACATGACAATAAAAGCCTTGAATCTTGAAGAGAGCTTAATGTAAAACTCTCTCTGGTGTTCAGGGACAGTAAAGGTGTGGGATACCCGACAGAAGGATTCACCTGTAGCCAACATGGAGCCCGGGGAAGGAGAAACTAAGAGAGACTGCTGGACGGTTGCATTAGGTGTGTGAAAGAAAAACATTTCATCTCTCCAAAAGACCAGTCCTGTTTCAAACTTCTGGTTAAGTGTTCTTTAACCATTATGAACGAAAGCACTGTTAACTGTTCCTTTGACCCTTTCATCACAGGTCATGCCTTTAATGATCAGGACCGCTGTGTGTGTGCTGGCTACGACAACGGCGACATCAAACTCTTTGACTTGAGAAACATGTCTCTACGGTGGGAAACCAACATTAAAAACGGGGTGAGGTGAACATAAGAAAACATGTTCTAATAAGTGGTGTGTGGGTGTTGATGTTGAACACTTCAGGAGAACATTTTCCTCTCCATTTCTTAAAGTCAGACAGCGTGGCTCCACGGCAAGAACATTACAACCACTTCTGAAGAAAAGGGGAACAAAGTGACTCAGTGAGCGCTGAGAGTAGTCCTCATATTAATACTCATGTTTCTATTCGGACAAACCGTGTAAACATACATTTGTTTTTCTCTTGCACTGCTACCTGATTGAGTCCTAGACACACACTGAGACAGATTTGGAGACAGCTCAAAATGACTTCCCTGCTCATAAAACCACAGAGGAAGTCTGTATGCATGTTACCCTCACACACCATTTACAAAGCACTGCACTGATTTCAAGAGGCGAGTTAAGGCAAGGCATGTTCATTTATATAGAGAGAGCACTTTACAAAATAAACATTACAAGTGCAAGAAAAACAAATCATAAACTTCACACTTCAATCCATTTCAAAACATTCATTTACAAATCAAGATAGTTACATTTTAAAGCAAAATAAAATAAGATAGGTATAAAATACAAGTTACAGTGCAGTTAAAGATATTCATAATTATTTGCTTTTAAAAAAGGCAGAAGCAAAAAATGAATCTTTTCGGCCTTGATTCAAAAGAAGTGAGAGCTGAAGCGGACCTGCAGTATTTAGAGAGTTCTCCCCAGATATATGGAGCATAATAACTGAACACTGCTTCACCATGTTAGCTTTTACTCTGGGGACAGAAAGCCTTCTCTTATTCATCACCTCCATTAACTCACCAGGGGTTTTTAACGTCCATTTCAACAAACATTCTGTTGTAAGGATAATAGTTTTCGGTGAATGTCCAGCGAGTGACTGTTGTGTTTTCTTACATCATGGCCAGGTATGCTGCGTGGAGTTTGACAGGAAAGACATCAACATGAATAAACTGGTTGCCACGTCACTGGAGGGAAAATTCCACGTGTTTGACATGAGGACCCAACACCCCACCAAGGGCTTCAGCTCCGTCTCAGAAAAGGTAATCGACCCGGGCGCAGACGGATGTTTGGCTCCCCCGAATGGGAAAAATGTCAAACGGTTGTTATTATTATTATTTTTACATTTGTGTGATACAGAGGGGGAAATCGTTTTGGCCATTTTCACAGCTGAAAGTGTTTGGGGTCGTGTTTGTCTTAATACTTCTCTGGGGCTATTTGTGACACGCCGGGCCCAAAATGACACCCGGCGCCGGTCCAGCCCTGAGAAGAAGTGGGGCTTTTTTGTTAGGGAAAATGTTAGAAAACACACTTAAACTGGGATTGAGCTTCACCAGCCAAGTGTTTGGCCTCATCTCATGAGAGATCAGAGGGCCTCCCGCTTTTATAAATTTATTTGTCCCGTTTTTTTTAGCGATCAGAGGTCTGCAACATTGAAAACCCAAGTGAAGTCCATTAGCATCCACCCTTTTATGATATATCAGTCTGCTATACATCCCCAGAATTAAGTCTTGATCTAAAAAATTAAGATAATCTGCGTAGCTCCCATCAGTCACACAAAGCTCTGAATGTTTGTTTCTATCATTTATGCGAAACAACTTAAAACAAGTAGGAATAAACTGGCAAGTGGATTCTTGAAGCTAGTAAATGTATGTCTATAAGTTTGAGTTAAACGTAGGACCTATACTTTTTGTTCTATTATTTACAGGGTGGGTCCCGCGGGGTCTCTACAAAATGAATTACAAAGTTGATCAAATCAAATTTAGCGAAAATGCGCGCTATTCAAACGCATTTTCCACAGCTTATTAACAATTTTGTAGGTTTGTTTTTCATAAGGTACGTCAACGTTGTCCCAAAAGAGGTATTTCATTCCTAATCAGTGCCCGTGCCTGAAATGTGAATACATTGCGTAGGTGTGTAAGTGTGTGATCTGTGTAGTTTGATTTATGGGCGTCCCGTTGGTATTGACGTCATCTGACAGGACAGTCGCACCTCACTGCTGTGATAGACGCGCGAAGCGGCTCCGGCTTTACGCCGGTTTGCGTGAAGCACATCGTTATGGGGAAATGCCAAGTTTGCTCGGCAAATGGGTTGGAAGAGTAAGGAGGACAGCAAGATTCAATACTGTATACTGTAGTTCCCAAAATGTGAGGTAAAGTGTGTCGCACAGGTAACCGGTTAATAACCAAAGTGGCGATGAGGGAGTCTAAAATGTTATGAGGGAAATGGCCTCTTGAAAAAACGGTCTTTGAAAGGGTTTTTTACCATTTTTGACTTCAGGAATGTTCCTGCGGCGTATACCGCTGATGTTATACCGGCTGATGTATGGCTCCGGCTATGAATGTCGTGAGTTTGAAGTAGGATATAGTTTGTTTTATTAGTCTCTTTTCCATGGCATCATAC